CCTGGCACGGCACAGCTCAGCACTTCCTGGACGTATCAAGGACATACTTAAACATGGGTGCTTGAGGGTAGGCTGCTCACTCAACATTTAAGAGCAGAAAGTCTTGACCTGATTTTAAGACTGGTTGAATATTCACAACACACTGAAGTCAGCAATGGGTTTCTACAGGGCAGAACAGGGACTGTAAAGACTAAGTGTCCTCTTAAATGCTAACCGTTAACAAAAAGTCTCTTTTCAGCTCAAGCAAGATCTTGTAGTTTAGCTGCCCCAGGGCCACACCTGCCGAAACCCTCTCCTGAAAGAGCGAGCCTATTGAAAGGTGGCCGGAGCCTTATGAAGGTAGCCGTGCGACCTCCATAGGGGAGTAGCTTGCATGGAGTAAGTGTGGCATGCCTCACAGCAGGCACCCCTGCCACACTGCTGAGATGGTATAGACATGCTCTATCTTGAAGGCTTCTTCTGCCCCATCCAAATAAAAAGATGAAGAGTACGGCTCTGTTCCCTTCACTTAAAGCAGAGAAGAGGAAAACCACCCCCCTCTCACTTATTCAGGTCCTCAGCCTTGCTTAGCTATCATCACCTTACTGTGGCACACTGCTCTTTTACAGTGCTTGGGAGACTGGTTAATTAATTATCTCCATGCAGCTAGTCTAGCCCTGCTACTCTGCAGACCAAATATGTGGGCAAGACAAAGGGACAGGATGAACCTCTGGTCACTGAACACAATGCCTAGGCTCCATCACATCAGAAAAAATATGATTTATCCCCCAGGTGTAAATATAAAGAAAGACTTACCTTGGTCTTAGGAGCTGATCCATAATCCATTGAAGTCAATTGAAAGACTCATTAATTTCAATGGACTTGGGATCAGGCCATTAGTTGAATAAACACTGCAAATTAAGTTAGGCAAAAAACAGATCAAAACATAAGTGAATCGGCTTTGACGTTATCCTCTTACCACTCCACCCACACACCCTTTCCAAGTTTGTTTTCTGTGAATTCACTACCAGAAAGATGAGCAGAAGCAGATAATGTTAAGCAAATATCAGATTGCATTTCCTGAGATCAAATTTTGATCTTGTAAATGTAAAATATTCACTCTGGAAAGCCAGATGCAAAGAATGAGGCTCATCCAAAAGAAGAGCAAAAACATCCTGAGCGACTCATGAATCCAGACCAAGCCAATCACGGGAATTTGAGCTTTGAATCCTCACAGCAAATGACTGACAAGTGCTTATAGACTGAAAACTTTCCCACTGAAACATGGGGGTTGGTCAAAAGCAATTTTGGGGGAGGGAGAATGTTATTTTGTACCACTTACTTAGTATAAGAGATGTCTAAATACATTTTTTTTTGTTTCAACTAGAAATGTTCATTTTGGTTTGGCTCTCCAGAGCTGAACTTTGGCTCTCAAAAACTGAACTGGCTCTCAAAAACTGAAACGTTAAAGATTTTTTCAGAGGTTTTATTTTTCACTTTTTTTTTTTAAACCATTGAATGCAACAGAATAAATTATGCCCTGGGTTTGCCTTTCTGGAAGAGTTGGCTTGTTTTTTCATCCTTTAAATCTTCCTTTTAAAACCATAGCTTCTCCAAACTTATTCAACGCTGAAAAGTGTGCCAGGAAAAAAGAAAAAACAAAAAGGTATTTCCATTTTCTACCACTTAACTGAAGAAAGGGAAAAAAAATGAGTGAAGAAAGCCATGTTAACATTTTGGAAACTCATAGTTTTAAATAAAATATTATTTACAATTTTGGAAAAATTAAATGAAAATCGTCCTAGTTAAAAACTAGCAAAATGGAAACAGCGTTACTTTCTTTAGTGACATTTATTCTCTATTTCTGATCAGCTCTACAAATGATCTACACATCAAAATGAATTCAGCAAAAGATTCTGAATACCTGATACACTTGGGACAAATCAATGGACATTTACAGGCATTTTACAGCTGAAAAGAGGTTAAAAATAAAAAATCAAATAAATTATTCATAGCAAATTACCCTCTTATTTCTAGGCATCGTTGAGAACAAATGCATCTGGAACCTATGGAAAGGTTTAATTTAGAAATAATGGTAATTAATGTTAAGGCCAGAAGAAATCCCTGTGATCATTTCAGCTAACCTTATGCACAACACAAGGCATGTCTACACAAGACGCTAACTACATAGTAGCCTAATAATACTGCGCAGTAGCCCAAACAGTGCTAATATGCCACTGCACAGTATTATTGGGCTACTGTGCAGTAGCATCACTAAAGAGATGTTTGCTGGTGCTACTGCACAGTAACTCCAGTTACTGCACATTTATTTAATATTTTACAAGTACTAAATTAAATGCGCAGTAACCACTGAACATTAAGAAGCGTATAGACACGCCCACAGACTATGAGACCTTACTGAGTTGATTCCTGCTCCATGGTTAACAGCTGTAGTTGAACTAGAGTATGCTTTTGGAAAAAATATCCAGTATCTATTTAAAAGTGTCCATTGATGAGGACCCTATGCAGCATATTGTGCCTTAGTTCTGGCCAGCTGGACATGTGCCGGATTTCTGCCCGTCCACTTTTTATGACCTCTCCTCCTTTGGCCTTCCAAAACATGTTGGGAGTATGTGATGTGGAAAGAGCCGTGGTTCAAAGCCAATGCAGAATTTCAGCACGTGTCTTAGCAGAGGGAGGAAATGGCTGAGATTAAGGCAGAAGGTTACAAGACAAGATCAAGAGTCTAACTACTTGCTTATGCCACTTAAAATGCCCAATGAAGGTGGTAGAAAGGGGCCCCAAAAGCCACATCTGTTTGAAGAATAACTGCGTAGTTCAGCTCTAAGGCTGCCCTCTCCCACTGAGGATTGACAAGGGAGATGTAAGTGGGGGGGATAGGTATCTTGACCTGGGGCAGCTCAAGGAGGTGGCTGTAAGTCAGACAGGTCCCCAACCCTAATTTGTACCATGGGTGCCACAGTCCACCAGAGCACCCCAGAGTCAGGAGGGGGCAAAGAAGGCTGACAGCCATCACAGTCCCCACTTCTCCCAGGGTAAGAGATATCAAGCACCCCTTAATAGCACAGTACATTTCCACCTTGGACTTCTGCCTCTCAGCAGAGCTAATTACCCGACCTGAGTGCTGCATGAATACAGTTATACTGGGGAAAGGCTGAGCCAATTAGTCCTTCCATAGCACTGCACAAACATGGTTACACTAACAGGAGTTAAAGGAGGTATAGATGACTTCCAGTTCCATAGGGCTATAGTGCATATGGGCCTGTGCCCCAGAACTTGCCCCCCTACCCCCAACTCTCATTGATACCTTTACAAGTTAGGTGCCCAGTCCCTATAGAAACTCTTTGGAACCGAGGTGCTTTAGACCCTTAGATGCCTTTGAGAATTCAAAGGGGAGCCTGAGGTTTAATTTAATATTAAGTGATTTGAGACCTTCAGAGAATTGGTGCAGTATGCCGTGGGAGAAACCCTGGACCCACGGACATTTGGTATTACCTATTTGGAAAAATTAGAGGAGTGTGTAACAGGCTGTGTCTTTGCAGGGGGCTTATGCCGTCAGGGGCTGTGCTGCATCCTGTAAGTGGCCGACTGCAGGTTTGCTAGGAAGACTAGCCTAGCTGCAGGCAGCAACACCTGATTGCAGGTTGCCTAGGGAATGGGACCAGTTGAGGCAGAAAACTAGCTGGCATCTAGGCAGCTAAAAGTGCTCCCAGGAAACAGAGCTAGAGAGAGTCACACTTCTAGGACAGGGATAGGAGCAGGAGCGTTGAGAGGGAGAGAGCTGGCGGGTCAGCTCATGGAGGAGCCCGGGGACCACATCCGGAGTGCCTCTCTCCCAGAAGACCATGAGTGCAGTAAGTGAGCTTTCCTGGGGATGAAGGGACTGGAAGGACAAGAGAGGGAGTGGACAAGTGGCGGCAGAACCAGGCCTGACGACCCTCTTCAGGTCTGGGAGAAGACCCGGTGCAGTATACACGTTGGGTTTATGGACTGAGTTTTTTATGTTGACTCCTGCTGGGGGGGAGTTTGCCCCAGGAGAGTAAAGACACTGGGAAGAGATAGTAAGTGAACCCAAAAAACTGTGTGTTTAAGCTAAGCAAATCCCTGAACCTGCTACTGAGTGTGATAGATTTGATCATATAATCATGCACTGAATCACTGACATTCTCTAAATACTCGCCCTTGGCCATTATACACGGCTATTCATTAGTACCTTTCAGAAGGGGCCAGTATTGTTATCCTTATTTTATACACTGAGACAAGGGTCTTGTGCAAGGTCATCTAGTAGGTGAATGGCAGAGATCTTATGAACCCAGATTTCCTAAGTGCCAGCCCAGATCAGTGCCACAAGGTCAGATCAAGAGACCATAGCTCTCTAACACTAAGCCAATGCAGCACTAACTCTCAGTACTGAAAAATACATTGAATCACAATTATTCACAGCAAATGGAGGAAAGAGATGGACAAACCATGTGTCCCATTAATGACAGAATAAGGGTAAGAACAGAGTTCACAATGAATAGGCAAGGCTGATAGAGTAGTTAGTATGCTAGGGTAGGTATGGGGGGAGACAGTTTCAATATCGTCCCTGCGCTTCTTGTATGACTTTGAACAAGTTGCTTTGTATATCTGTGCCTCTGTTCTTTATTGGGGGAAAAAGGCAAAATTGTACTACTCCACACAGGGATGCTGTTTAAAGACGGCGCTCCAGTGCTGTCGTACGAGGGAAGCAGGTATCCAAGTGCTATACACACGTTCTAATTGTGAGAGAGCCACACACTGTACCCATGGGCCTTCCCCACCTGCATATCTGGGTTAACAATGATTTCATACCTACCTAGCAGAGGTGCTGTGAGGATTTATAGACATATAGACAGCGCTTTACTGTAATGGAAGCTCTGGACATTCATATTTTCTCTGCACTTTTTCTCCTGCTCCAAGTGATACAGAGAAGAAACCCTTTGTCAAGAACTTTGGAAAGAAATAGCATAAGCTCTTTATGTATATATTTCATTTTTAATTAAAAAATAAATGTTATCTTAATACATCTCTTGCAGCCTTTGGGCAAAAATGCACCCTTAACAAGACTTAAGGAAATACGATGCATATCGGTTCTTGGCACACAGGTCCTAAAAACAAATGCAAACTTTCTTCAGCAACTTTTTAACTCCAATGCACTCCCCAAACCCTGAAAACATTTAAATGCTTTTTAAAAAAAACCCCCAAAATTAGAAATGAGCCCAAAGCAAAAATCCCAAATCCAACTATCCCCAAAGCTTCTGGAGGAGCCCGAAAACCTAGATCTCAATACAAATTTTATCTTGGAACGTCTATCTTTATGCCGGGTTGACACAGGATTTCCAATGGCATCGCCCCAAACTTCCCAGGGAAGTCTGAAGTCTGAACCCTGACCCAGGTCTGAATCTTGCTCAGGTGTCCCTATCTTTATAATAGGTGAAGCAAAACCCTGGTTTCTCTGCATTCTCTCCAAAAATGTTTAACTTGGGCCCATCCCTAAGAGAAACAGATGCTGGTTAAATGAGAAAATCGTGCTTTAAAAGTCCCCCTTTTTCTTGGCAGTCACTGTCCTGAGGCCAAGCTAAGTATTTTGTCCATTTTCTCTACTTTAAAAGGCGAGGATAAGATCAAGCGAACACACTGCACCCTCCAACACAGTCATATCACTACCTAACCACCTCCCAGAGCAGGAAAGAGGCCCTGGGCTTCTCCTGTCTCTTCAGACTGTCTCAGGTTTCTAGACACAGTTTCCTTTGGAGGATAGCTCTAAAAGTACTCAGGCTCCACTGATTATCTGCAGGGAGGGCATATACACACTGCTGGAAGGGAAGGATCATCACCATGTGCACTGGATTTCTTTGTTCCACAGTGGCCCATGTTGGTTGGTTCCCAAAGGCACAAAGTGCACCAGCTTCTGACTTACACACAAGGTCATATGCATTTGGTTTCACTGTTTCTTTTTCCCTCCATTGCTCCTCTTTCCTCTTTAGCTGGATGGCCCTAGGTCTTCGGGGGAGGTCTCTGGTGTGTGCTCTAGAGACTTCCCCATCTCGGAGGAGA